AACTCCCTGTTTCCCCTTCGGTCCCCATCCTGGCACCTGCAACCACCATTTGCTTTCTGTCATGATTTTAGCTGGGTAACTATCTTAAGATTTTTACTAGGTAACTCGTAAAAGTGGAATCATACAATATTTGTCCTTTTGAGACCGACTTATTTCACTTAGCATGATGTCCTGAAGGTTCCTTCATGTTGTAGCATGTGTCAGAACGTCCTGCCTTTTTAAGGCTGAATAATATTCCATTCTGTGTACATACTTCTTTTTGTTTACCCATTCATCTGTTGATGGATACTCGGCTTGCTTCCACCTCTTGACTATTGTGAGTAGTGCTGCTGTGAACATGGGTGTGCAGAAATTGTCCTTTTTGAACTGGATAACTGAGGGAATGCCTTTTACATTGAAGAAAATCAGAAGTGCGTTTTTTAAAATGACAGATTGAGCTAATTGCTTACTTTCCGTACTCTGGATGGTAAATATAATTAGAACTTTCCAAATCAGGTAAAAAGCCTAGAGAAGAGAGTAGGACAGCTGTAAGTACAGAATATCAGCAGAAACTAATGGGTGTATTTGACAGCAAGGATGCTTAGAGTGTACTAAGGAATTGTTTTTTGTTGACAGTTGGCTCTAACTCAGTGGTTGTCAACTGGGGATGATTTTGTCCCCCAGAGGACATCTGGCAACTTATGTAGTCATTTTTGGTTTTGGCAATGGGGAAGTGTGGGGATATGCTACTGACATCTAGTGGGTAGAGACCAGGGATGCTGCTAAACATCCCATAATACACAGCACAGCCCCCTACAATAAAAATTATCTGGCCTATCATGTCAGTGGTGCCATGGTTGAGAAACCCTCCTCTAACTTGATTATCACTCTATTTTTTTTGGTGGGGAGTGAGGGGTTGGTTTTTGGTTTTTGGTAGAAGGGAGAACTCACTCAATATTGTTTTTAAAATTTTACTTTTCTGAAAAACTGTATCATATCCTTGCATATCTTGGAAGCGTCTGCCTAAAGTTTACCCTAACTGCGATTGCCTTATGACTGGATTAAGTGAGTTCCCTCCCTTAGCCTGCCACAATCTCAGTTAAATCAGTGCCAGGCACCTCACAGACATGAATTGTTCTCTGCAGCCCACAGTCTGTTGTCAACATGTTAGCATTATCCTTTTCCTTCTGCCTCACTGGCAGCTCCTTCTCAGGCTCCCTTGCTGGTTCCTAAAGGCTTAGTCCTTGGACCTTGTCTCTGTCTGCACTTACTTCCTTGATTTCATCTAGTGCTGGAGCTTTAAGTTCCAACTATACACTGACAGCTTCCCAGATTTTATCTCCACTCCTGTCTTCTCCCCTGAACTCGATGCCAGTGCTTAACTGCTTACCCGATCTTTGATTTCATCTAGTGCTGGAGCTTTAAATTCCAACTGTACGCTGACAACCTCCCAGATTTTATTTCCACTCCTGTCTTCTCCGCTGAACTCGACGCCAGTACTTAACTGCTTACCCAATCTCCCCATTCCTCACTCCAACCTAGCATTTCCAGTATCTGAAGTGTTCTCCCCATTCCATAATCCCTCTTCCTCCCAAGCTTATCCTCATCCCTATAAATAGCAACCCCATCCAACCTTGGAGTCATGCTTAATTCCTCTTTCCCTTATACCCCACATCTAATCAATCAGCAAGTCCTAGCAGATCTGCCTTCAAAATATGTCCAGAATCAGACTGCTTCTTACCACCTCCTGTCATCCTGGTCCAAATCCCCATTGTCTTGCACCTGATTAATTGTGTTACCTCCTGCCTTTCTTCTTGCCCATCTGCCTATTCTCAAAGGGCATCCACATTTATCTTTCAAACTCAGGTCAGATATGGTAATACCCAGTCTCTTAATGGTTCTCAAGACTTTCCCCAGTATCTAGCTCCCGGCACTTCTTCTCCCTCGTTCCTCCAATTCTCCCCTTTTCTCACCCCACATTGCCCTCTTTATTCTCTGAATATGCCAGGCACATTCCTGCCTCAGGGTCTTCCTCTTGCTCTTCCTCTGCCTGGAATGTCCTTCTTCCAGATATCTCATTCAAGTCTGCTAGAAGGTCACTTTCTAGGAGGGGCCTTCCATGATCATTCTATTTAAAATCATACTCCCACCTTGTATTCCTAATTTTCCTTCCCCGGTTTATTTTTTTCCATAGCACTTATGTATAGCTTACTTGTTTAAAAAAGTTCTGTTTTGTCTTCACTAGAATGCAAGTCCCATGAAGATGGTAATTTTCATCTGTATGGTTCGTTTACATTTTCCTAGTACCTGTAAAAGTGCCTTGTACATATTAAATATTCAATAAATATTTGTTAAATGGGTGAATAAATAGTATCTTCAACTACTTTTTTTCAGTCAAATATATACTAATTGTCTGCCCTGCACATAGCACTGAGCCAAAGAATGAAGACATAGCAGCAGGTCAGCAGATAGTCCCATTTGTACCCTGGCAATCTAGTGAAGCAAACACAGACAGAACTAGCTAACAATAATGATGTGTCAAAGAAATACCTAGCAATTTATATGTAAAGCACTAGTTATATAGAGGCCAAAGAGAACATTTCTACCTTTGGTAGACAATGAAGAGAGGATGTTGGAGTTAGCTTTGAAAGGTAGGAGGGAGACCGAGATGGGTGGATCACGAGGTCAGGAGATCGAGACCACCCTGGCTAACCCAGTGAAACCCCGTCTCTACTAAAAAATACAAAAAAAAAAACAAAAAACAAAAA